GGCACTTGGCGACATCTGCCTTCACTTTGCGTGGCAGGCGTGGCACTTGGCGACATCGACCTACACTCTACGTGGCAGGTGTGACAATTGCGGCATCTGGTGGCGCGCTTGGTTCCCAGTGGACGCCGCGGTCGCCGCGGCTGTTTGCGTGGCAGGCGTGGCACTTGGCGACTATCGACCTTCACTTTGTGTGGCAGGCGTGGCAGTTGGCGACATCGACCTCCACTTCGCGTGGCAGGTGTGGCACTTAGCGCGCTTGGTTCCCAGTGGACGCCGCGGTCGCCGCGGCTGTTTGCGTGGCAGGCGTGGCACTTCGCGACATCTGCCTTGACTTTGCGTGGCAGGCGTGGCACTTGGCGACATCGACCTCCACTTTGCGTGGCAGGCGTGACAATTGCGGCATCTGGTGGCGCGCTTGGTTCCCAGTGGACGCCGCGGTCGCCGCGGCTGTTTGCGTGGCAGGCCTTACACTTGGCGAATCCCCCCCCCTTTAACCCTAGAATATTTTGGGGGGGTAAGGCAAGAAATTTCTGAGAAATATTTCGCCTGACCACGTGAAATATTCCCCCCCCCACGTGTTTTTTGGGCTTCGAAAAAACGTGGGGGTGGGTCCTCCGGATGCCACATTTTAGCCCAGAGATGGTATGACACACCCTTTCATTTTGCGTAAAACGAGCGCGCTTCTACACGCCGACACTGTTCCTTTTTGGACCTTTTTAGTCCTTACGCGGGTAGGGCCTACGCGCAAACACACAACTAGGTAAATGGTAACTGCCGGTTTCCAAGAAAGTAAATAAGAGAGTGAACTTGCCAAACAGCCTTCAGAACATGACATTCAGCCTTGAATTCAACCACGCCCAGAGACCATTATAGACCAGATTTTTTTTAGCTGAAATATTTCACTTTAGGGAGGTGAAATATTTCTAGGTGTGGGGGGGGAGACCCCCCCTAAAATTAAATATTTCAATTTTTACCCCCCACCCCCACCCCCCCCTTAACGGGGGGGGGATCTTGGCGACATCGACCATCACTTTGCGTGGCAGGCGTGGCACTTGACGACCTCGACCTCCACTTTGCCTGGCAGGTGTGGCACTTATGGCACTAGGCTGGCTCTGGTGGCGCGCTTGGTTCCCGGTGGACGCCGCGGTCGCCGCGGCTGTTTGCGTGGCAGGCGTGGCACTTCGCGACATCTGCCTTCACTTTGCGTGGCAGGCGTGGCAGTTGGCGACATCGACCTACACTTTGCGTGGCAGGTGTGACAATTACGGCATCTGGTGGGGCGCTTGGTTCCCAGCAGTCACCGCGGCTGTTTGCGTGGCAGGCGTGGCACTTGGCGACATCGACCTCCACTTTGCGTGGCAGGTGTGGCACTTATAACACTAGGCTGGCTCTGGTGGCGCGCTTGGTTCCCAGTGGACGCCGCGGTCGCCGCGGCTGTTTGCGTGGCAGGCCTTACACTTGGCGACATCGACCATCACTTTGCATGGCAGGCGTGGCGCTTGACGACCTCGACCTCCACTTTGCGTGGCAGGTGTGGCACTTGTGGCACTAGGCTGGCTCTGGTGGCGCGCTTGGTTCCCGGTGGACGCCGCGGTCGCCGCGGCTGTTTGCATGGCAGGCGTGGCACTTGACGACATCTGCCTTGACTTTGCGTGGCAGGTGTGGCACTTGGCGACATCGACCTCCACTTTGCGTGGCAGTCGTGGCACTTATGGCACAGGGCTGGCTCTGGTGGCGTGGACGCCGCGCTCGCAGCGGCTGTTTGCGTGGCGGGCGTGGCACTTGGCGACTATCGACCTTCACTTTGTGTGGCAGGCGTGGCACTTGGCGACATCGACCTACACTCTACGTGGCAGGTGTGACAATTACGGCATCTGGTGGGGCGCTTGGTTCCCAGTGGACGCCGCGGTCGCCGCGGCTGTTTGCGTGGCAGGCGTGGCACTTGGCGACTATCGACCTTCACTTTGTGTGGCAGGCGTGGCACTTGGCGACATGGACCTTCACTTTGCGTGGCAGGTGTGGCACTTACGGCATCTGGTGGCGCGCAACATATTCACACACACAATTACACACACACACACACACAACTTATCCACACACAACAACTTGTCCACGCACAACTTGTCCACACACAACTTACTCACTAACAACTTGTCCACACACAACTTGTCACCACACAACTTGCTCACTCGCAACTTGTCCACACACAACTTGCTCACACACAACTTGTCCGCACACAACTTACTCACACACAACTTCTCCACACACAACTTACTCCCACACAACTTCTCCACACACAACTTGTCACCACACAACTTACTCACACACAAATTCTCCACACACAACTTACTCCCACACAACTTCTCCACACACAACTTGTCACCACACAACTTACTCACACACAACTTGTCCACACACAACTTGTCACCACACAACTTGCTCACACGCAACTTGCTCACACACAACTTGTCCACACAAAACTTACTCACACACAACTTACTCACTCAACTTTGTCGCACACAACTCTTTCACACACAACCTTTTTACACACAAACTTATACACACACAACACTGTCGCACACAGCTCCTTCACCCAACCTGTCTTGCACCATCTCCTTTCCTTCCTGCCTTTCCCATCTCATTTTCACACCTGCTTGGTGCTCATGGGAAGAAGTTGATTTGTTGGGTTATCCGGTCCTTTTTTTTCCACAAGGCAGCTTGGACTTGTCCCACGTTACAGGAAAACAATCGAGGCTGTACTACAAGAATAGCCGAAAAGAATGGACAGACATTCAAGGAAGAGTGGATTGGGATACATCGATCTGGCTGAAATTATATCGCCAAAAGCAATCAAATCTGCAGTTGTACAGTCTGCGTTTAGCATATTCAGAGGTCATTTGCTGGAATATTGCGGGGCTGGCAGTGCACCTTTCGGCACACGCAGAGGGCCAGAAAGATGATGTAGTCATTCAGGCAGATGAGGGATTGGAACGCCCTTTCAAAATGAAATTATGTAGCCGCCAACAGCGTTCAAACCGGCGATTTTTCAAGTCGAAGCAGGCCTGTTTTGTTAAACGATGTTCTCTACTGCATTCAGGGACCTCTGGAATAAGTTCTCCCGAAGACACTTGATGTTTTTGCAGCCCTAGCGTGCGACCCTACAATTTCCACGCTGAGGTTGGATTCTTCCGAGGGCATTTGTTTCTTTTTTGTAGCCGCAAGCATGCAATTCTGCAATTTCCCAGTTGAAGTTGGCCGTGCACCGTTCAAAACCATGTTTTACAATGCGTCTTGGGGTATTCAAAACCCCCGGATTAATTCCTTCCGGGCACTTGATTGTCGTTTGGCAGCCACAAGCATGCAACTCTACAATTTCCCTGCTGAGTCTTGAGGTACACCCGGATTAATTTCTTCCGAGGGCGCTAGACACAAGCATGCAACGCCACAATTTACCCGTAGCCTTCAAAAACATTCTTTAAACAACGCATCTTGGGCTGCAACCTTCCAGCGCTTGGACCTCTGTTGCTGAATTTTCCAGCAGGCGCCCTCCGAAAACAAAAATATCCCGCTGACACCTCATTTCCCCGTTGGTGGTCAAGTTCCCCATTGGCTCCGCCCGCGCGTCATTGAGCACTAATGGAATTGATCCGACCCCTTCTACTTCCGCCTGCGCGTTGTGTTCCCCACCCCACCATGGCGGTTCCCTGTTGTGAAAATCCAGCCCTCAGATTGTATATAGGTAAGGAACATCTGTCTAGCCCCCTGTATGTACATGTTCAAAGATCCGCTGCCAGCCTCAAAGTATCTCCAGCATTCCTCAGCAAGCGCCCGGTGCCCTCGGAAGACATTAATCGAATGGTAACTGAGTACCTTACAATATATATCAATATATGATAATATATGGTTTATTTTTTTTGAAAGGCCCAAAGACAGCCCTAAGCGGCAAACTGCAGAACCGCATGCTTTCTCCAAAAACAAGAATTACACGGCGTGCCGTAGGGTAGTGAGGGGTTTTTAGGTTAATTAATTTCTTGCGGAATGCACAGGTGACAAGCATTCAGGGAAAGCAAAAGGTGGATGCTTTGGTTGACAAAAGCCTTCAACTGATGCATATTTTGGCTTATTGAAGTGCGTGGTCCAAAAACATGATTATGTCAGATGCGGCCTTGGACCTTGAAATGGGATTTTTCACCATGCACATTGCACTTCGGAGGAGACAACCACCATGACCCAACTTTCGGCGCAAAACCAATTAAAAGTATAGGGACAAATCTGTCAATTTTTTTTTCGTTCTTGATGACAGGCAGGTTGGAGGCAAGTTCATTCTTGGATTCTGGGCCTTGAAATTTCCCATCTACGGGGATAATTTCGGCTAAGGGGATGAGGGCGTGGAACAATCAAATCAGATCTATGTTTTTAATTAATGCGGGGTAGGCACCCTAGAACCATGGTCAGCACTGACCAAATAAAGTAACCCTAGGTGGGACCCCCTCCCCCTTTACTGCAAGGGTATCAGATATAATGTCAGAAGAGGTGTTACATAGAATGCCAGAAAGAATGTCAGACTTGAGTCAGAATAGATGTCAGATAGAATGCCAGATAAAATATCATGGTGGGGACGACTCGAAGAAAGTAATTTGTGAATTATATGCGGACATGTTTGTTTGGCCCGTAAGCACAAGATCTTGGAACTTCAGCACGTCACTTTGGAACAGCGGTTGCTCAGATGTAGCCGACTCTCTTGCATCCTTTTGTTGCTTCCTTGATGTGCAAATGCAGGCCTATGTTCACAGATACTGTTACGACGTACCGTATTTATATATTAATATATATATATACATGTACATACACACACTTAATTGTTTACAACTGCCTATGCGCATACAAACATACAATGTACACATATCATCACGTGCAAGTACAGGCTTGCACGTTTAGCGCCTTCAAGTCAAAGTGGCAACATGAAACAGTATTGAGTTCTGAAGAGACTGCCTAGACAGGTCTACCTGGAGCAAAGCATTGGAGAGGCGATCCCTTTGTTTTGGCACCAGGGTTTCAGCTACTCCGAAGAGTAAAAATAGAACGAGCATAGAGAGACAAGGAAGAAGAGAGATTAGGGTTTTGGACCAAATGGAAAAACCTCTTGATTGCACACATTGGCACAGGAAACAACTACTCGCCAAATCACCCAGTCACTCGCTCCCAGCACTCACTGATTTTTCTAGATATGAAATCATATTCTCTAAGGAAGTGTCGAAGAGACACGCCGCGTTACAGGGTGTCTTGTGAACAGCCCCCAGCTCATTGCCACTTCACATCAGCAACACTTCACAACAATCAGTACTTGACAGCCACTTCAAATCACCAGTTTTGAACTCTTCATTTCACATCATCAGATCACATTAAATCCTGTCCAATTCTCATCATCACCCATCTTTGGTGTTTTGGAACTCTTTGAGGTTTTCTTTGTTCAGTGGCACTTGTATACATCTAGCTCCAATTTGGTGAAAAGTACGGTAGGCTCGAATGCGCATCGTTTGTGGCGGGTGCGGCTCTACATTCGAACAAAGCGCGCGCTGGAACTGAGGCGTCCCGGTCACTTGCTACAGTTCCTTCTCTCATGCTTCTGTCCATGGTTACTTTGTACATTGGAACTGCTGCGTGAGGGTATGCGTTGCGACGCGCTATTGTTTCTTTCAACTCTGGGTGACTTTGCCCAAACAAATCGCCAAAGGAACTGCTGGGTCAGGCTGACGTTTCTGTATGTGTGTGTGTGGGTGTGCTGTTGTTTTTTTTGTGTTTTGTAGTCCCGTGGTTGCTTTGCGCGGGGAATCTGTGGCACGAAGGTGGGATTTGAGCGGTATCAATATGTTGCTTGTCGCTGAGTAAAACTTAGCAAAAATGTCTCAGCATTTGTTGAAAGGTAAGGTGGCTTGGCTTGCGCAGCGGTTTCTGCGGGCGGCGTTTATTGGTCGAACTGCGCGCAAGACCTGACGATGGTTGCTTTGCAAAATGGATCTGCTGCGTAAAGGTTGCTTTCTCGGACTTTTGTGCACTGGTGTCTTTGCATTATGCGCTTCTGTGAAATTAGAAGCAGTGAAACTGCTGCATCAAGGAATTCCTATATGGTAACTGTGTGGAATTGTGCTTTTTCTATGCCCTGGTTGCTTTTCGCACTGGGGCTGCTGCGTCGAGGTATGCTCATGCCATGATGTCTCGAACTGAATGGTTCCTTTTTCTTTTGCTGAGCCCATCAGACAACCAATTTATGTACTTTGAATCAAGTTCTTTCTGATGTGGTCACCACCATATGTCTTTTCGCAATCCAAAGGTCTCACAAGAGCTCAGGAAAGCAAGTCAGAAGGCGCGATGACTTGCCATGATTTGCGATGTGTTTGCGAAGTCACGGAGCTAGCTGCTCAATGGGTCTTCATAGCTTTCAGAAAGACTTGCCGCCTGCTCAGCAGGATGATCAGCTGAAGGCCAGATCCAAGTGTAGAGTGTGGAGTGTAGAGTAGGACGAAAGAGAGTTTTGTTTCTTGGACAAACCGTAGGGAAACACAAAAAAGTCGTGGACAACCACACAAAAGTCGTGGAAACAGGGGCCAAAGACCCAAAACAGGAGTTTCTTGTGCGCGCAGCATTCCTGCCAAGAGTTCTTGAACAAAATGTATAGGATTGCCTATGGGGTCAATGTGGGGCCGTGCTCCAAACCCTGGAAGTAGGTATTCATGCCCATGCTCCCTTTTTGCGTTCGTAGTATTGGCGTCGGAGGGGGCCCAAATACTTCGGAAAAATAGTTACAGTATTAATTAATGTTGGCGCACCGAGTGCGGGATTGCAACCCAATGGGACAGAAAATCGTTCTTTTGCAGGTGTATGCCTAGGATATATGTTGATGCCTTTTGTTTCTAAAGCGGTCTTTGGCGAAAGACCTTCCAAAGCGCGGTCTTTGGATTTTATGGGTTATGATAGTCAAGCCTGGCATGCCTGGAAGTTTACATGAAAGAAGCTGGCTTAACATGTATGGCATACAGGAGTTTTTTTGCGTCGGAACTTCGTTCCCCCACGGAGTCCTCGCGTTGCGTCGGCATTTCGGCCATGACTTTCCTGGATGCGCCGCTGGTGGCTGTGGTAGTGGATCCATCGTCCACTGGCGCCTTGCTAGCGCGAGAGGTACACCAGCGAGGCCCACTTAGGGGGTGAAAAAGCGGAAGCAGGCAGGTGGTTGAACCAACATGGTCGCATATCTATCATCTAACCTATTGGATTTTGGGGGGCTAACCATTTTCAGACGAAAGGTTTCATGCTTACAGTCGCAAAATGATTTGTTGGTGGTTCCAAGCATGTTTTCTTCCATATCGGGGATGGTTTTCTTCAATTTGACCGGGTGGCTACCTTTTCAAACATTACTTGTTGATTGGCTTTATTTGAAAATTGGAGAGCATGCCCCAAAATGGCAATTTAGGTGGAATCTTCTCGGAATTGATTGATTTTGGGGGTAATTAACCATGTTCAGACAACCCTATATGTGCATGAGTCAACATTTTCCGCTTCCCATGTTTGATACATATATATGTTTTTCTCTTTGTTTGTAGTATATGCGTTATTCCCCAGGTAGCGAAGCTATTGGAGTTCTTACTTCAAGTATGGGAGGGGTTGCATGTCTGCGTTTTGGAGGGAGCATGCTCGTGCCGCTCGAGGGTGCTGCTGTCAGAGTGGCGTGTGCGCTTTGGGGCGGGCATGCTGGTGCCGCTACTGAGTGTCGCTGCAGGGTGTCGCTGCAAGCTGCTGCTTGAAGGTGCTGCTGTTAGAGCGATGCGCGCGCTTTGGAGCATGCTGTTGCCGCTGCAGGGTGCTGCTGTCAGAGTGGTATGCGCGCTTTGGAGCAGGCATGCTGGTGCCGCTGCAGGATGCCACTGCAGGGTGCTGCTGTCAGAGCGGTGTGTGCGCTTTGGGGCGCACCCCTGCACAGTGGCGTGTGCGCTTTGGAGCAGGCATGCTGGTGCTGCTGCAGATTTCGCTATACAGGGCCGCTGCAAGGTGCTGCTTGAGGGTGCTGTGCTGTCAGAGCGGTGCGTGCGCTTTGGAGCGGGCATGCTGGTGCCGCTGCAGGGTGTTGCTGTCAGAGTGAATTGTGAGCTTTCGAATCTTTGGAGCCGGCATACTTGAGGGTGCTGTCACAGTGGGGTGTACGCTTTGGAGCGGATATGCTGGTGCCTGTGCAGGGTGCTGCTGCATGCTGCTGTTAAAGTGGCGTGCGCTGTCAGAATGCTTTGGAGGTGGCCTGCTGGTGCTGGAGGGCAGCGCGGCTGGCTGTGCCAGTGCAGGGTGCTGGTGCAGGGTGCTGCTTCAGGGTGCTGTCAGAGTTGGGGTGCGCGCTTCGGAGCTGCTGCAGGGTGTCGCTGGAAGGTACCGCTGCAGGGTGTTGCTTCAGGGTGCTGCTCCTGGAACTGCATGTTGGTGCCGCTGCAAAGTTGTTAGACGCTTTGGAGCTGGGTGCAGGGTGCTGCTGTCAGAGTGCGGTGTGCGCTATGAAGCTTGGGTGCTGGTGTCGTTGCAGGGGGTGGCTGCAAGATGTCTATGGCAGTGCGGGCGTTGGGCCCTGATGGAGATTATGTTTATGCCGTAGCAAAAAAGACGAGGGCTTGGTTGATACCAAATAAGCTTCAGTGGTATCCCCAACAGCCGCAGCGTTTTATTTTTTTACAGCCGTGCTGGGAAGCCAAGCGCTGGAAACACCTCAGTTGATTTTCCGTGAGTTGAATGAACCTGAACTGGCTTGGCTTCTGCAACCTTCTCCGGAACCTTCTCCGGAACCCTGTTGAACCTGACCTGGCTCTGCACCAGAGCCTCCCAGACCTTCTCTGGAACCTTCTCCAGACCTGTTGAACCTGACCTGGCTCTGCACCAAAGCCTCCCAGGACTTCGGAACCTTCTCCGGAACCCGGGCATGCTAAGTGCTGCTTGCGGGTGCTTGTGTCAAATGTGGTGTCCGTGCGTTGGAGCGGGCAGGTTGGTGCCGCTGCAGGTTGTCGCTGCCGGGTGCCGCTGCAGGGTGCTGCTTGAGGGTGCTGCCAGACCGCTGCAGGCAGAATGGCGCGTCCGTTTTGGAGCAGGCATGCTGGTGCAGCAAAGGTCGCTGCAGGGTCCCGCTGCAGTGTGCCGCTGCACCGCTGCAGGGTGCTGCAGGGATGCTGCTTGAGGGCGCTGTGCGCTTTGGGAGCGGGCATGCTGGTGCTGCTGCATGGTGCCGGTGCAGGGGCAGCTACAGGGTGCCGCGCAGGGTATACGCTTTGGAGGCTCGAGTGGGCAGGGCCGCTGCAGGGTGCTGCTTGAGGATGCTGCTGTCAGAGCGGTGTGCGCGTTTGGAGCGGGTGCTGCTGTCAGAGCAGTCTATGTGCTTTGGAGCAGGAGCTTTGTTGCTTCTGCCGCCCGCTGCAAGGTGCTGCTGTCAAAATGTTGTTTCCGATTTGGAGCTTGGCTCGCCACTATCTTTTGCTATCTAGGGTCTATGCTGGCGTAATTTTCTTGGGTGTCTTTCTCCTTGCCTTTCAGCTTCCTCGCTTCTCTGCTTTTTGCTTTTCTGCTTTCCCCTGCTTCTTGGCTTCTCTGTTTTTCTGCTGTTTTTGCTTTTCCGCTTCTCTCCTCTTCTTTTTCCTGCTTTTTTGGTTTTTACTCTATATATATATGTGTGTGTGGTATGTAATGTATGTATGTATGTATGTATGTATGTATGTATGTATGTATGTTTGTTATGTTATGTTATGTAATGTAATGTAATGTAATGTAATGTATGTATATTTTTATATATACGCATGTACGTATATGTATATGTATATTATATATATATATAAATGTGTATATATATATAATTATGCGGATATGTGTGGGTATGTGTGTAAGCAAAAACTATTTTTTGGTGGCAACCAAGCGCTCGCCGTTTTTGCTACGGCATTAACGTAATCTTCGCCAGGGCCCAGCGCCCACATTGCCATAGAAATCCCGCGGCCACCCCCCCTGCAGCCACACCAGGACCCAAACTTCATAGCGCACACCGCATTCTGACAGCAAAAGTTTCTAAGATGCAGACAATCCTGTCCTTGAACAGTAGTATGTACCCTGCACCTGCCGCATCCCTGCAGCGGCACCAGCAAGCCAGCTGCAAAGCGCACAGGCCACTCTGACAGCAGCACCCTGCAGCACCGCACCAGCAGGCCAGCTCCAAAGCGCCCTAGGTCACTCCAAAAGCGCGCACACCACTGCCCGCTCAAAACCCCACACGCCACTCTGTCAACACACCCGCTCCAAAGCGCACCAGCATGCCCGCTCCACAGCGCGCGCGCCACACCGTGCCACGGTACCCTGCAGCGACACCGGCATGCCCGCCAAAGCGCACGCCACTGCACCCGACACAAAGCGCACGCAACACTCTGACAGCAGCACCCTGCAGGTGTCACTGCAGACTTTGACAGCAGCATCTTCAAGCAGCACCTGCGGCGGCACTCTGCGGCGGCGCTAGCATGCCCGCTCCAAGCACACACACACACACACCACTCTGACAGTAGCACCTTCACGCAGAACCGTCAAGCGCAGCGGTACGCTCTAGCGGCACCAGCATGTCCGCTCCAAAGCACACACCACTTGGACAGCACCCTCAAGCAGTACCCTCAAGCAGCACCCTGCAGCGGCACCGGCATGACCACTCCAAAGCGTACACACACCATTCTGACGGCATTGCCCTTAAGCAGTACCCTGCAGTGGCACCCTGCAGCGGCACCAAGATGCCCACCCCAAACCGCAGACATGCAACTCGTCTTACATTTAACCCCAATAGCTTCGCTATCCGAGGAATAAACCCTAGACCAACCCCCAAAACACGAAGCAACCCTAAGCAAATTGGTAACAAACACCAGGCATACTTGAAACGTATCTTAAATAAACCTTAAAACTAATCCTTAAAAAATACACCATTCCGAAATAGATCAAAACTATGCTTAAATAAACCTTAAACGTGCCTAACCGTACAGAAACTTGATATAAACCAACCCCAAATAGATGGCTAAGCAAACTCTGCTCAGATCTTAAACCGAGCTAAAAACAAGAAACGTAATTCCACCCTAAATAGAGCCTAAACTTTAAATAAAGTCTGAACCAAGCTTGGACAAACCCTAAGCCAAGCATTTTTAAAAAGAACGTAATCCTGCCCCACATAGATCCTGAACGGACGGAACAGAAGAATCAAAAAATCAAAGCGGAAAAAGATAATTCCCGAAACAAGTCCAGACCCAATGGATTTGTCTGATATTGGTTACTCTCCCAAGCCCATTGGTTTATCATCATTTCCAGACAGGCCCAAATGAGGCTCATAGCCTTGGATTTTGCGTCATGCCCAACAAAAAACGACCAACTTCTATCAAACGGTTGGTCTTTAGTTTCCAAGAAATGTTGACCCAGTTCGCCCTCTCCATCATTGGTTCCTCTTCCCATCTAAAGCATTCTAAAACTATTTTTTTTTCATTTTAAATACTGATTCCCCCCCCAACAATAAACATCCATGGTTCCTTCAAGTCTCAAAGCCTTAAGACCTTGGTATTTTTGTCTTGCCGCACC